GGGGGACACCCCACTGCTGGCACACCACGCTGCCGTGCCAACCACCAGCTGGGGTGCAGTTTCCTGGTGATGCCACCGGCTGCGGTGGGGGCTGCCAGTGTCCCTGGCTGGACCTGCACCCCCAGGAGGACCCCTGGGTGGCCAGAGCCAGTGGGGTGGCTGTGGTAGCTCAGCTGTCATGGTCGCAAGCGTTCCTTCCACCTCCATCCTCCCTCCTCAGCACCCTGCCAAGAATTTGTTCCCTCTCACCCGGGTCTGACATCACTCCTTTTGTCGCTCCAAACCTGTGTGTGGCATCTGGGAGGTGGTGTCCACAGGACCCTGCCCTCCCCACCTTTTGCTGGGCTCTTCCTCCTGCCCCACACAGGGATCTCCGAGTCCCCTTTTGGGGATCCCCGAGCCCCTTTTGGGAATCCCCATCCCCTCCGGTGGCACTGTCCCCACCGCATCCCGCTCCAGCCACCCCAGCTGGGTGCCACCTCACCCCGGGCACCCTCATCCGCAGGGTGCTCCCGGGATGGAGCCGGGATGACCGTCCCCAAGCAGCCCAGGTGGGATTTGTCCCCTCTGTGCCTCCTGGGGTGCCCGGTGGAGCCTTCCCATGGCGTGGCCGGGATCAACGCCCCCCCGTCCTGCAGCCGGAGGAGCTGGATCCGAGGAGGTGAATCCTGCTGGGGCCAGAAGGCAACACCTCTGAGCAAAATGTCAGCCGTGTTTAGCTTGGCATCCCGGGCAGGATTTGAGCTGGAGCCCAGGGAAACAAGCAGCTCAGCGTGTTAATCCGCTCGGCCTCGGCGCCCCGGCTCCCCTCCGGCTGGCGGTGTCCTTGAGCCCCGCCGCTGGTGACAGCCCCATCTTGGGGAGACGTCTAGGACGGGGTGGTGGGACACACAGCCTGAAAGCTCTGCGGGGGGAAGGAGGTGGGATGGATGGCCTGGGATTCGGGGAGCAGGTGGCAGGGCTGCGGGGGGCACAGGGGGACCCCAGGCGATGATCCTGCAGAGCTGGGGAAGGGGTGATGCTGCTCCAAGTGTCCGACCCAGCTGACGGACACCTGGCTGCCTCCACGCTTGGTGAGAGATGGAGCATCTCCCAAGGATGCCCCCTGGCTGCCCTTGTCCCCAGGTGTCCCTGGGGCTGACGCCAGGGGGGAGCTGGTCCATCAGAGGGATGCTCAGTCCCGGGGCACTCCCTCTCCAGCTTCTCAGACTGGGGTGGCCATGGAGGGAGCAGCTCCCAGGGCGCTGCTGCTGCACCCAGGCACCCACTGGGCCTTGGGGAGCTTTGCAGCCACTTCTCCAGGGGTTTCTTCAGCCAGGACCACAGAGGTTGTGCGGGTCCGCGCTGGTCTTTCCCCATCGTGCGTTGCTCAGGGATGAGGATGCTCAGCACACGGCTTGAGGATGAGGAGGTACAGTTTGTGGTTCAGTGGTGAGGATGCTTGGCTTTCAGCTCAGGGATGAGGATGCTCAGCTCATGGCGCAGGGATGAGGATGCACAGCTTGTGGCTCCACAGCTCAGGGATGAGGATGCGTGGCTCGGGGATGAGGGTCCATGGCTTGTGGCACGGAGACAAGGATGCTTGTGGCTTTCGGGATGAGGGTGCAGAGCTGGCAGCTCAGGGATGAGGACGCGTTGCCTGCAGCTCCACGGCTCAGGGATTGAGGATTTGTGGCTCACAGCTCAGGTGGTGAAGCCACTTCAGCGCTCACCCCGGTGTGACACAGCAGAACCCGTGCCACTAGCCCTTCCCTCCATCACGTCCCGTGCCATGGGTGGGCACAGGGGCCAGGGGGGTGGTGGGGGTGGTCCTTGCAGCCGTCTTATCGCCCGTCTCACCTCCGCTCGCCAAACCCTGGCATTGATTTTTTTGAGCCCGTGCGGGGCGGCCTCGGTGCCGGCGGCCGGAGCAGCACAAATACCTGAGATGGCAAAAACCCAAAAATCCAGCGCCTGACTCACCCCAAAGAAATGTGCCCGCACCAAACCGGGAGCTGGCGGCACGTGAGCCCAGCCTGGCTCCTGGCAGCGAGGAAGCTGGAGCGGTGGCCACCCCCTGCCACGGCCGGGCAGCCACTGAGCCACTCTCAGTGTGGGGGGCACAGCTCAGCCCCTCGGGTGGCTCCGCTCTCACCGGCGAGGGGGCATCCATCTCTGGGCGGCGGGCACACGATGCCGGGCGGTCCGTCCCCTTCACCCTCCCCGAGAGGGCAGGAGGGCATCCCCACGGCCACGCTGGAGGCCAAACCTTTCTGCTTGCCACAGATAAAGCTGGGAGGGTGGTGCCAAAATCCCAGTGGAGACCAGTGCGCCCCGCTCCTGGGGGAGCCACTGCGGCGCTGGAGCTCCTGTAAAGTCCCCAGGAATTGCTGCCGGGTGTTTTTCCCTGGCTCTGCTGGATTTTGCAACCCGGGCTCTGCTCTTGCTGCAGTTTGCAGCCTCTGGCTGCTTCCCCCCCACCCGGGGGGAGCGTTGAGGAGGGGAGAAAGGCATGATGCCAGGGGGCTTCGAGCTGCCCCCTGCCCTCCCTCTTCCTCCTGCGCTCCATCCGGGATGCGAAACCAAGTTGGCGAGCGTGGAGCTGGGGCGGGAGGGAGCTGGCGCCGGCATCTCCTCGTGATGCAGCATCCCTGGGAGGGCAACGTGCCCAGCGCCAGCCTCGCCGGGGCCGCCCAGACTGCCCGGCTCCAGCCCTGCCGGTGGGACTGAGCCAGCGGCGGCGGTTCCCCCCTCCCCGGCACCCCAGCGTGGCCAGCAGCTCGCGTGGCCGGGTAGCCACGGGGAGCGAGCGTGGCCCCTGGGCCAGCTGCCCTGCGTTGGGGCCACGTGTGGCAGCCCCGGCAGGTTTCCTCATCCATCCCTGCACTTTTGGCCGAGGCTGAGCGCGGCGGCCGGGAAGCCAAGCAGCCCCAGAGTCCTTAAATAACACCAGAACATCCTCGCCCTCCCGGCCCCGGGCGTCCCGCCAGCCTCCCAGGAGGGGTTGTTTTTTTTTTTTTCTTTTTTCGGTTTGGGCTTTTTTTTTTGTGTGTGTGTGTGTGAATAAATTAAAACTTCCGAAACAAACCCTCCGACCGCCCCGCTCCTCTAAGGCAAAACAAACCCTGCCTGGCTGGGACAGCACACCGCCGTCTTTGCTCCCTCCTTGCCAGCCTTGCCCGAAACAAGCCGGCAAACCTGTCTGTCTGTCTCTCTCTCTCTCGGGTTTTTGGGATGTTTCCTGGTGTTTTGAGGCTCGGCGATAGGGAGCTTCGTGTCCGGATTGGAAGTTTTTCCTGCCCAGCCGCAGGTAACCGTGTCCCCGCGGGGCCGTGGCCGCCAGCACTTTTATTTTCCAGCCTTATCTTTATTGCAGTTTTCTCCTGCTGGGAAAGGTGAAATTGCACCTTATCTGGGCCGGCCGCTGGCAGCACGACCTGTTCCCGTGCGAGGGGAGAGGCGGATGTGCCCCCACGGCAGCTTGGGCATCCTCGGGGGCGACGGCGGGGAGGGAGAGGGGTGATGCCAGGGTGATGCTGAGCTGGCCCCACCACCCCCTGGCATTCACCCGTGATGGGTGCTCGGCGTGGGGGAAAGGGGTTCCCCGCAGCCCCCTCCTGCCAGCTGAGTGCCTCTCGGGGTGTGCTATCGCTCTGGCTTCTGGCCAGGAGTTTTATTATGGGTTTCTGACGCAGCAATGAAGTCAAGCTGAGCTGGGGGACCAGCCCGCGGAGGGTTTAGCTGGCAGCACCCCGATGCCAGCCCAGGGCTAGCAGGAGGAGCCTGGAGGCTCGAGGAGCGAGTGGCAATGCCCAGGGCCACCGCTGCCTCCTTCCAGGGGTGGCTCCAGGCTGCTGGATAGGTTCCTTTCTCAGGGATGCCCTGAGGAGCACCCAAGGGTGCCGGGCAGGAGGGTGCAGGAGCCACGGGGCTGCCCCCCCAGCGCTCCCCTGTTAATGGTTAATGTGGCCGGGCAGCGGCGCGGGCTCCCTGCGAGCTATCAGCCCTGCCATCGGCCCCGGGAACAGCCTGTACCTTCGCTGCCCGCTGTTTGTTTGCCTCCCGGCCACTCTGCCCTGCTGTCCCCCCCGCCCAGGCCAGCCCCATGGTGGCTTTGCAGGTCACAGCGTCACCCGTGGTGCCCCTGCTCCAGCTGAGGTGCAGGAGATGAGGCTGGGACGCTCCTCCCCACGGGACATCCCCATGGGATGCTCCCTGGAAGGATGCAGGAATGGACCAGGATCCCTCTTTTTTTTTCTTCTTTTTTTCCTCCCCATTGTCAATCCCCTCAGCCCCCCGCCAGGGGAGGGGGGGCTGTGCCTCTTGGCCACCATTTCTGGGAGGGGAAACCCTTCAGGGGAAAGGCAGCGTCTCCCCCCAGGAGCCTTGTGCCAGCTCCCAGTGGTGCCCCACAGAGCTTTTGGAGGTTATTTGTTTG